TGGGACCGCTAAAAACTGAGGATGGAGTGGAGGTCAAGGATAATCTAGGCATGGCCCAATATCTAAACAAATACTTTGCCTCAGTCTTTAATAAGACTAAAGAGGATCTTAGGGATAATGGTAGCATGATAAATGGGAATGAGGATATGGAGGTAGACATCACCATATCTGAGGTAGAAGCGAAACTCAAACAGCTTAATGGGACTAAATCGGGGGGCCCAGATAATCTTCATCCAAGAATATTAAAAGAATTGGCACAAGAAATTGCAAGCCCATTAGCAAGAATTTTTAATGAATCTGTAAACTCAGGGGTTGTACCGTATGATTGGAGAATTGCTAACATAGTTCCTATTTTTAAGAAAGGGAAAAAAAGTGATCCAAGTAATTATAGGCCTGTTAGTTTGACATCTGTAGTATGCAAGGTCTTGGAAAAAAATTTTGAAGGAGAAGGTAGTTAAGGACATTGAAGTCAATGGTAAATGGGACAAATTACAACATGGTTTTACAAAAGGTAGATCGTGCCAAACCAACCTGATCTCCTTCTTTGAGAGAGTAACAGATTTTTTAGATAAAGGAAACGCAGTGGATCTAATTTACTTAGATTTTAGTAAGGCGTTTGATACTGTGCCACATGGGGAATTATTAGTTAAATTGGATAAGATGGGCATCAATAGGAAAATTGAAAGGTGGATAGGGAATTGGTTAAAGGGGAGACTACAACGGGTCCTACTGAAAGGTGAACTGTCAAGTTGGAGGGAGGTTACCAGTGGAGTTCCTCAAGGATCGGTTTTGGGACCAATCTTATTTAATCTTTTTATTACTGACCTGGGCACAAAAAGTGGGAATGTGCTAATAAAGTTTGCAGATGATACAAAGCTGGGAGGTATTGCTAATTTAGAGAAGGACAGGGATACCCTACAGGAGGATCTGGATGACCTTGTAAACTGGAGTAATAGGAATAGGATGAAATTTAATAGTGAGAAGTGTAAGGTCATGCATTTAGGGATTAATAACAAGAATTTTAGTTATAAGCTAGGGACGCATCAACTAGAAGTAACGGAGGAGGAAAAGGACCTTGGAGTATTGGTTGATCATAGGATGACTATGAGCTGCCAATGTGATATGGCTGTGAAAAAAGCTAATGTCATCTTGGGATGCATCAGGAGAGGTATTTCCAGTAGGGATAAGGAGGTTTTAGTACCATTATATAAGGCACTGGTGAGACCTCACCTGGAATACTGTGTGCAGTTCTGGTCTCCCATGTTTAAGAAGGATGAATTCAAACTGGAACAGGTACAGAGAAGGGCTACTAGGATGATCCGAGGAATGGAAAACTTGTCTTATGAAAGGAGACTCAGGGAGCTTGGCTTGTTTAGCCTAACTAAAAGAAGGTTGAGGGGAGATATGATTGCTCTCTATAAATATATCAGAGGGATAAATACCAGAGAGGGAGAGGAATTATTTAAACTCAGTACCAATGTGGACACAAGAACAAATGGATATAAACTGGCCACTAGGAAATTTAGATTAGAAATTAGACGAAGGTTTCTAACCATCAGAGGAGTGAAGTTTTGGAATAGCCTTCCGAGGGAAGTAGTGGGGACAAAAGATCTATCTTGCTTTAAGATTAAACTCGATAAGTTTATGGAGGAGATGGTATGATGGGATAACATGGTTTTGGTAATTAAATATTCATGGTAAATAGGCCCAATGGCCTGTGATGGGTTTTTAGATGGGGTAAGATCCAAGTTACCCGGGAAGGAATTTTCTGTAGTATCTGGCTGATGAATCTTGCCCATATGCTCAGGGTTTAGCTGATCGCCATATTTGGGGTCGGGAAGGAATTTTCCTCCAGGGCAGATTGGAAGGCCCTGGAGGTTTTTCGCCTTCCTCTGTAGCATGGGGCACGGGTCACTTGCTGGAGGATTCTCTGCTCCTTGAGGTCTTCAAACTACAATTTGGGGACTTCAATAGCACAGATATAGATGTGAGGTCTTTTTTAGGAGTGGTGGGTGAAATTCTGTGGCCTGCATTGTGCAGGAGGTCAGACTAGATGATCATAATGGTCCCTTCTGGCCTAAATATCTATGAATCTATGAATCTATGAATCTATTTTACATTTTATTTTGTTATTTGTGTTAGTGCTTCCTAGGTGCAAGGGAGGAGGACCAGGACAGAAAGGCCTCATTAAAGAAGTGTATATTCAGGAATGAAAAGGGGGAAAGCCTAGAGGGCATAGCTAAAGAAGGGATTTAAGGTATGGGCAAGGGAATGGGAAAGAGTGGGAAAAGGACATGCAGGGAGGAAGAGGAGGTGGTAAGCCATGCAGTTTGGCTGAAGCAAAGGAGGAAAGGAGGGAGTAAAATGTGTAGACAGCGGAAAGGTTGGTGGGAGTGGCATCACTGGAGTTGCTTCCACTCATACGAGAGCTAAAATTGACTCAGTGAAAAAATTTGTGATCTATTTGTAACTGTTGTGAGGCAAGCACAAGCCTGTTCCCGCTCCCTCTTTTGCCATTCATGCTTCAGAAGGTGTGATAACTCTCCCAGAAAGCATGTACATAACCCTCTGTCCTTCCCATTCTTTGTCCAGCATGTGCAAACCTGCCAGGGCCAAAATGCACAGAGGGATTCAGGGCTGGTCTGCACTACAAAGCTAGGTTGGTTTAATTATGTCACTCAGGGCTGTGAAATATTTCACACCCTGTGCAATGTAATTAAGATGACCTAGGTCCTGGTATAGATACTGCTAGGTCGATGGAAGCATTCTTTCTTTGACCCCTCTCTCAGGGACGTGGATTTACTAAAGTGATGGAAGAGCCCCTTTATTGTTGTAGTGAATATCTACTCTATACTAAAGTGATGCAGCTATAGCATTTCTTATATAGATGTACTCTTGGTGACAGAACTGGGATTAGAACTCCGGACTCCCTTCCTCTTAGTTACCTGCCTGGGCCATTAAACCACATTGCCTCTTATATTATTGTGCTGCCCAAATTTATACCCAGAAGGCACTCTGACAACTCAGCAGAGGCACCTGCTCAACTGCAAGCAGACCCCGGTGGGCCTGTCTGCATTCCACCCTGGTTCCCTGGACCACCAGGGATATTAGTTGGCAGCTGCTTCATGGAGCCGTGAGCATGGGCGTGTACCTGGTGCAGTTTACTCCCCTTCCTGACACCTGCCCCTTCAGTGGCGTGAGGGAGACTCGGGTGTACATTTATATTGAGAGTGCCAGGTTGCAGCCCCTTTTCTGGTTCCTCCAGAATCTTCTCCTTAGGTTCTGACTGTACTTTTCCCCACAACTCCTCATTTATGTACACCCCATCCGTGGCCCCAGGTGAGACCTCCTTATCAACCTCCTCCTAGCATTGGCCAGGTTGGCCGTCCACCATACCAGGAGGAGGATGCTGGATGGGGAGGTGCTCTGAGACTGTGGGGCCTATTTCCGCTCCTCCCTTAGTTTACATCTCTGGGTAGACTTCCTCTGGGCCGTGTCCACTGGCTCCCTGGACACCTTTGAGGAGCAGTAGGCACTGTCTGGGGTTCTCTGCTCAGTGTCCCCCTCTGGCTCCCTGTTTTTGACCCTGTGACCATAGGTGCTGACTTCTGCTCCCGCCAGTGAGTGCTCGACCCCCCTCTGCCACCAGCCCTGCCCCGCCTCCACCCCTGCCCCACCCCTATTCCAATCCCTTCCCCAAAGTCCCCGCCCCAACCCGCCCCGTCCCTGCCCCTATTCCGACTCCTTCCCCAAATCCCCGTCCCGGCCCTGCCTGTTCCCCGCCTCCTCCCCTGAGCGTGCCACGCTCCCACTCCTCCCCCTCCCTCCAAGCATGCAGCCAAAATAGCTGTTTGGCGGAGGCTAGGCGGGAAGCGCTGGGAGGTAGGCAGAGGAGCGGGGAAACGGTGCGTTCAGGGGAGGCGGTGGGGGCGGGGAGGCAAGCCTGGCTGCTGGTGGGTGCAGGGCACCCACTAATTTTTCCCTGTGGGTGCTCCAGCCCCGGAGCACCCACAGGGTCGGTGCCTATGCCTGTGACCCTCACGCCTGTCCCTATTTTCTCATTTGTTGTCCGCCGCATTCACTGGGTCCAGTGGCTCCTCCCCTCAGTCTGGAGGAGGGGCCTAAGTGCAACCAGCCAGGTGAGAGTGTGGCCACACTAGGCAGCAGTAGCTCTGTCTGGTTTTAATGTTGCCAGCTCTCAGAACGATATCGTAATTGTCAGGATAATTGGTGTATTTCTTAAAGCTCCAACTGCTGGAGTCACAGAATCACACAAGAATCTCACCTTTCATTTAAAAACAAGTATCTAGCTTTCATGGCTGCAGAGAGAAGCTTGAAAACTGTGACCTGAACACACCCTGAAGGCTCCAAACCCCGCAGGCAAAGAGAAGGAACCCAGCCTAGATTCTTGTTTTTAAATCTCATGATTTGTAAGCAAGTCTCAGAAGGCATTACGGGGCCTGGTGCTTGAGCTGAGTGCTTGGCCTTGGCAATACTGGGGGGTTTTCGTAGATCCTGAAAGCCAGTCCTGGGTGGGTGGCTGTAGAGGGCCGGGGCAGCGACTGAGGAACACAAAGTTTGTTTGTTTGTTTGTTTAAAAATCAGTGTCTGGCTTTCAGTTCCTAGAGATCAGCTGCCTTTGGGAGGCTCTTCACAAGGAGGAGGGCTGGGAAACTGCCTCTTCCCAAGTGACAGCTGAACTCCTGCTGTAGCTTTCCCGGTCCCCCCCCCCCCCCGTGTGGGGGAGGCAGGGGAGGGACAGAGCGGGCACCAAAGGCCAGTCCTGTGTGCCTAAGGGAGGGGATCGTGGGGGGGACGACGCCCCACAGCAGGCTTTGCCACCACCAACATGGCTCCTCTCCCTGGCCGCCGCCCCTTTCCCTTCCTGGGCCGGCGGCTGCTGCTGCTGTCGCCCTGTGATGAGAGCATCAGCCCTCACTGCCACGTCTCTCCTGGGGAGCAGCCGCCGCCGCTGCAGCTGAGGGGGGGAAAAGGGAGCGGGCGAGAGCGGGGAAAGGTGGAGAGAGGAGGAGTGTGGGGGGGGCTGGGCTAGGTTCTCCCGCCCCCTCCCTCCCCACTGCTCCCCCCCCGGGGAGCTGCTGAACCCCCACCCCCTGCAGCTTGGCCCTGCTGGGCAGGTGGCTGCACCCGCCCGTTTGGCCCTGGTGGGTGCTGGCAGGGTGGGTAGGTGTTAGGCGAGTCCCCCCGCGGGGTGGGGAGCCGGAGCCAGGCTGCCCGCCCGTGCCACCCGGGCACCACGCTGCCCGCTGCTGCCAGGGCTGGGGAGGGACCCCGGGCTCTGCAGCGGCAGCTGCTGGTGTTGGGGGAGGGGGCTAGAGTGTGGCTCTTTGTTGCTGCCTGTGTGAAGGGGACCCTCCTCCTGGCTGATGTCTGAGCTGCACCACTACCTCCTCCATCTGCACTTCGATGTGTGAGTACCGGCTCCTGCGCCTTCTCCAGCCCCTGGGGCCCTTTTCCCCTCCCCCCCCAACACACTGTGAGCCCCATCTCTCTCACCTCCACCCTAAGGCCCTGGCTCCCTTTTCCCGCCCCCTTTTCCGCCATGGCTCTGTCAAGGCAACTTTTGTTCCTTTAATCACGAATTGCTGGGAGTTTGAAATGCATTAAACAGCGAGTTGTGGGTGGGGAGGGTTGGTTTTAGTCCATCTTTAGGGCTTCTGCCTGGGGCTTTCCTCCCCATTAATGGGGTGCTTGTGGCTCTGGGAGGGTTTCTACAAACCCAAACTGGGAACGTGTGAAGATCCTGCACGCTTATCCCAGGGAGTTACTCTTTAGATGCCTGTGGGCTGCAGGGTGTGTGGGGAAAATTACTGCCCCAGAGGAAAGGCTGCTACTTCTGAGGGGGACCAGTAATTCTAATGTTGCCTCTCTTTCTGGCCCAAGTACTCATTGTCTAAAAGAAGCCTTGAAATGCATGGTTGCAGCAGGGCTGATGAGATTTTTTTTAAACTTTATTTCAGCAGCTCTTCTAGAGATAGGCTTAAGTTGCAAAAGTGAGCTCCAGCTCTGGATTTCAGACACCCTGGGGATAGCGGGGTGCTTGGAAAAGAGATGAGAGATGTGCTTTTTGCAAAGTTAGTGTTTGGATTTTAAACACCACAAAGTTCATATGGGCTCATGTTTAGGGTTGGTGTTTTTTGTTTTTTAGAACACTATCCAGCATTTTAAATGATCAAGGAAAATATGACAGATTGAGTAGGACATGGGATATATAGAACTGATCACAGCCACATATCATAAATGTTGAAACGTAATTAATCAAAGCCCATATAACCTGTGCTAAGACCCCATTCTCCAGAAGGTGGGAAGTGTGCTGTGCAACTCCCTGTACTCCTAAGAAAGCCATGTATTGATTATCCTCCATTATGTGGAGTGGCAGTCGAGATGATGACTCTGTTTATTATAGGAGGCTGCATGCTAACTATTCTGGGGTCCCTTTAACAATGAATATTCAACTGAAACAGGGATAGCTTTGTTTCCAATGTATGATAGCTCTTGTGCATGATTTTTGGATGTGAACAGCAGGCCCCTCATATCGCTTCCATCTGTGGTGATTATACATGAATGAATGAGATGTCCGTACTCCAAAGTGGTGGATTGTGAAGTTCTAAGAGAGAAGGCCTCATCTTAGCTGCCAACCCAGAATACTGTGTATCTGCTGCCATCAGGAATTTTTGGATAGAGAAACTGTTGTACAGAGATGGGAAAGGGCGCCTCCAAGATCACACAGCATGTCAGTGGCAGAACAGGAAATAGAAGCCAAGCCCCTTACTCCCCATTCTGGTCCCCCTAAAATTCTTGATGTTTATGTCCATTCAAGTTGCTTTGTTGGTGCCTCTTACTCCCCACTCTAGGACATTTCTTTGAGTACTTGTGACACCTTAGAGACTAACCAATTTATTTGAGCATAAGCTTTTGTGAGCATCCGATGAAGTGAGCTGTAGCTCACGAAAGCTTATGCTCAAATAAATTGGTTAGTCTCTAAGGTGCCACAAGTACTCCTTTTCTTTTTGCGAATACAGACTAACACGGCTGCTACTCTGAAACATTTCTTTGAGTGTTACTTTAAAACACATCTTCACGCAAAGCACCATACTGTCTGGCCCTGTCAATACCCAATGGGTAAAATCCTGACTCTACTGACGTCAATGGGGTTTTGCCATTGACTTTTTTGAACCCAGGATTTTACCCAGTACCTCTAGGCCCTGATCATACTGGGATTCTCTAGGATGTGGACATTTCTGCTTGCATCTTGTTCTCAAGCAGCTGTCAATTTTCATTTTGCAGCCCAAACCAGCATATAGGATGGGAGTGCTGCCTATTGTTGAGAGCTGGGGACTAGGGGTCAGCACTGCTGGTTTTTATTCTTTGCTCTGACACTGACTTAGTAGGTACACTTACGAAAACCAACTGGGTAGAACTTTTTAATAGTGGCTAGCAACATTGGGTGCTTAATTTGAGGCACTTTGGGAGGGATCCACAAAGTACTTATGTGCCTAAGTCCCAGTTTTGGCTCCACTGTGATCTACAAAACTGCTGATGAACTCTGTAGGCGCCTAAACTTGCTCGGTGCCTACATTTTCTGGGGAAAAGTTCCCTAGGAGCGTGTTTCTGCCTCTGGGCATGTGCATTGGTGTCTCTCTCTCTAGGTGTCCAGGTGCCTATCTCCTGCCTAAACACCCAAGTGTTTCGTAAACCAGGAGAATACAGGCATTCAGCTGCCTAAGTTGCTTGTGGGACCCAATCTAGCAGGCGTGCTCAGAGGCCACCTGGCGGATTGGGGCCCATTTAAAAACAGTCTGGAGAAGGAGGTGGTGGCACTGCTGTCCTCCTTTTAGCCCAGTGTTTAGAGCACTTGCCTGAGATATGGGAAACTCAGGTTCAATTCCCATCTCTCTGCTAGAGGGGGAGAAAGGATTTGAGCTGGGGTCTCCCTCATCTCAGGAGAGATGCTCTGGGATATTCTGGTGTGCGGCTCCCTTAATCTCTCCTTTTGAAGCTGTTCCACTGCAGATAAATAATGAAAGAGTGATTGGAGACACGGGGTCTTCCGTCTCCCACATAGGTGCTCTAACCACTGGACTGCTGAGCCATTCTCTCTTTCTCTGGGCCAGTGACTACAGAAATCTGTCACTGCCTGGGCCAATGACTGACTCTTCCAGCCAGAGAGAGAGGGGAGAATGACTCTGCAGTCCAGTGGTTAGGGCATCCATCTGGGAGGTGCCTATCTCAGAAAGGGGCAGGCTTATCACACACCCCTATCATCAGCCTCTCCCAATTAGGTAGTTTAGGCAGCTCAGCACCTAGCATCCTGCTTTTGTGGATCCCTGCTTTTGTGTGGTGCGTCTGTCTCCACAGTCACGGTGTAGGGAGCCTGGGTGCTTAGCTTGGCTTTGTGGATCTGATTGTTGTTCCTTTGATTTTCTTGGTGCTTAAAAGTTAGGCACCATGACACTCAGTGTTGCAATGTCTAAGTCCCTTCATGGATGCTGGCTTTGGGGCCTAATTTTTTTAGAAAGGCTGAGCCACCACAGTTCTGACTGTCTTCAGCTGGTGTTGCAGATGCCCAGTGCTTTTTTGAAAACAAGGTCCAAATTGTCTCAAGTTGAGCACCCAAAATTGATAATTTTGCAAATTTGGGCCTGACCTTCTCTGTGCCTCAGTTTTCCCATCTGTAAAAAGGGGATCATTTTTACCTTCCTACTTGAGCAGGGGTTTTGTGAGGGTAAATTAGTTCTTGTAAAGCTTCTTGAGTTCTTTAGATTAATAGCACTTGCAAGCTATCACTTTTCTAGTGATACTGATGGGATCCTGCTGTAGCTTAGGTTGCAATGTAGTTTCAGTGTAGATGGGACCAGGGTTGGGCATTTGATGGTTCCAAAAATAATTGGCCAATCGACTGGTCAAATATTGTCAGATATAGACGAATATTGTAAAGCACTAATTTATTAGAATAGTAACAACACTAACAAAACAAGTAAGAATTTATCGTCTCAAATAGGCTTAGTCTTAAATAGATACTTATGTGTAATTTCAAAAACCAAGTTACTTACCTGAGTTGTTTTAACTCAGAAATGCAAAACACAGTGAAATGAAGTTATAAAAAATAAAGGAATAATTATTATTACATTTTTTAGCAATGTTAGGCTAGCATTTAAATGTGAACGTTACTCAAGATTGAATAGTTACAAAAGAAAAAATTGAAAATAAATAAAACAAACACAGAGCAACTATAAAAGGAGAAAAAATCATTTTTAAATCCACTTTTTCTAGGTAGGCGGTAGGCGTTCAAGTAGCTTAATGGCGGTGCTTCTTTCTCTTTGTGCTGGGGGAAAAGGTTTAATGACCGTGAACCCTCTTCTCCCTCCCCTAGTCCCTTCTGAATGAATTTCTGTATGATTGTCTAGTCAGTTTAGATTGTATTCTCTTGGGGCAGGGACTCTCTGTCTTATTTAATGTGCGTTGTAAATTGCCATGTACATTGATGTCCTGTTTACGCATAAGGATATGGATACATACAGTATTGTTTCTAGAAGATTCTAGCCTATCAAGAGGCTCAACTTTTAATTAAAAAGAAAAGGAGGACTTGTGGCACCTTTAGAGACTAACAAATTTATTTGAGCATAAGCTTCACGAAAGCTTATGCTCAGATAAATTTGTTAGTCTCTAAGGTGCCACAAATCCTCCTTTTTCTTTTTGCGGATACAGACTGACACGGCCGCTACTTTGAAACTTTTAATTAGTTTGCCCTTTTCCCCCAACAGGTGGCATTAGCATGTAGTAAAGTAAGTGATCAGGGCTTTTAAATAGGGTTGCTAATAGATGGCAATAAAAAAGGTAGGTTGGGCCTACATCAGGGCATTCTTGCTGGAATATTTGGTGGTGGTTAAATGAGAAGTCAATTGACTGGTCAGTTGATCAGCTTGCCAGCCTAGGCCGGGCATTAGGAGGGAAATATTTGCACTGGTGTAATTACATTGGTATATTGGTATAAATTACTCTAATGCATTGTTTTCTTACTCCTGTGTTTTTTGTGGGAACTTCTGGGCTGAACTTCTCGGAAGATTTTATGTTTTTTAATAAAGTTTGAGCAAAATCCTATCCAGTGTTTTGGATTTAGGAGAGGGTAAAAACAAACCACTTGTGTGTGGGTGTGTAAAACTCAAAACAGATGAACTTTGATCTATGATCTGTAATATGCCCCATTGAAATTTCAAACTTCCCCTAAACACTGGACTCCAGAGTCATTCCCATGTGTGCACTCTCTGGCCCAATGACTATTCCACTGTGGAGAAATACTTAAATAGTCATTGGACTAGACAGAGAGAAAATGGGAATGAATCTGTAGTCCAGTGGTTAGGACACCAAGGTGGAAGACTCTGGGTCCAGTGTCCCTGCTCCACTCCTTCT